CCCCCAGAATGCTTCTCAAGAGGAAGAGAGGAAATTAGAGAGATTCTTCCATGATGTTCTTCTGGATAGAGTGGAATTTCAAAATAAATTCTGATGCCAGCACTATCTGATTTTCAGATGAGGAAGCCATTTCCCATGTAGTTTACTCAGCCCCAGGTCCCATCTCATTCTAGAGGAAGAAGTAGGCAGAATGACACACTCTGGTCTTCTATGGTAACCGAGTCATAATTTGATGTTAAAATAGGTACTTACAAAGAAAAATGTATCTGCATTAAGCTCTACTCTCCTAGGATTACTTCCAGGTCCTGGGAGATCCTTGTGAGAGGATGGGAAAGTAGTATGTATTTTTTCTGACAATCAATATTCACCACCGTGAGAGAGATGTGGGTGATATTGGAGATCAGGAATCTTACTCTGATTCTGAGAGCAGTGATTTCTAGGTATAAGATAATTGGCATCTATGATCCATCTATTATTCATCCATTAGCCATCCATCTATCCATCATCTGGTCATCTTATCTTCCATCAGTCTGTCTTCTAAGTCTTAGTTCCTATGTTGGATGCTAAATTTCAATACATACTTAGGGAAACTTAGGGGCTTTGCATTTGTTGTAGATAATATTTTAGGTCCCTGGGCCTAGCTTTTCTAAATTTCTTTGCCTCCTTATTTAAATAATTGCTTTGAAAATTTTTCTTGTCTTTTCTTTTTTTTTTCTTTTTTCTTTTTTTTTACATTCACTTGATTCCACAAATATTTATTGAGCATCCAACAATTTTGCCAGAAACTTTACCAGGCAGAGGAAATACAAAGGAGAGTGAAATGCAAATACCTCTTCCCATTACTTTTATAGTAAAAAAAAAAAAACTTATCCTTTAATTGGGAGGTGTTGAAGATGATAAATGTGTAATGATGCTGATACTCACAATGCAGCTCAATTATGGAGCAGTACTGTTAGGATTCCTGAAATTGAAAGGTGATCGTGGAAGACTGACTGGGATTGTTCACTGCACATCTGACGTTCTGTGCTTCTCCATCCCAGCTGCAGTGAGTGGCCAGAGGGGTTCAGGATTCATCTGGTTGTAAATGTGGCAGATACTGGGTGCTGGGCTGGATTTGAGAATCAGAAGGGAGAAAGCTTTGTGAACTGATGTCAGAATTTTCTTTCTGCCCTCCCTTTCCTCTTTGCTTCCATGACATTTTCTTGTAAGCACACACCAGTCCCTATGGTGTTACTGCAACAAAACTATTATGGCATCAGGCTCCTTTTTGAAACCCTTCTATATATTTACAGTCTCTTGTGATTTTTATAGTCAAATCCAAACTCTGTATCTTGGTTTCACAGCTCTGCATAATCTGGCACCTGTCTTGCTTTCTATTCTTATGCCTTGCTACCTCTCTTTTTCTTAACTGCATGTTCCATCCAGATTAAATCATATTTAGTTTCTCTAGCATGCTATGCTTTCTCTTGTTTCTAGATCTTTACCCATATCATTACCTGTGCCTGGCATAGGATTTCTCCCTCTTTGAGATCTGAAGTTTTAATCATTCTTCTCTGGGAAGTCTTTTTCTATCCTTCCACACTTCCCTCTCTGTATTAGATAAAATTGCTGTATGCCATCATATCTCCCTGTTCTTTTCCTAGCATTGCTCTTAGAACATGCATTTAAATCCAGAAACGGACTCTAAAGCTTGTGCTGTTAAGATTATCCCTTGTAAGTTGTGCATTCTCTGGAAAAGTTCTGTGAAAATCTGTGAATCTCTATAGGTTCATTGGGAAAATTAGGAAACGGTCTCTAGTTTGTTGTGAGAATATCATTAGAGCTATACATAAAAAACGCTTTCCAGATAATAAGTAGTCAATAATGGTAGTAGATATGCTTCCTCTAAATGTTTTGTTTATTTACAACAAAACTATGGCTCTTTGAGAGCAGAGACACAGGCTGTATAATTTATTAATCTAGTTCCACCCCAAGACAGGGAAGAGCATGGAGTTTATTAAATGAATAGATGAAGTGTTTTTTTGTTTTTTGTACCACAACCAGTCCAAGGAGTCCCACTTCCCCAGACCAGTTTGCATATGATCCTTAATCCAACTCTCATTAACAGAAGCAGCTCCTAAAAGAGATGATAATCACACTCTTAGATTATGCACAATATGTGAGCATTCAGTGCATTTGGGATGTCTTTGGGTCCATAATCTTATAGAGAAGGTCCTTGGATGGGATACATTGACAGGGGAAGTGATGTTGCATTGAAATGAGCAGGGCTCCACACACTTATGCGAAGACTAACAAAAGAAGAAGCAACTTGGAACCATATACCCAGGATACTTCTGATGGCCAGACCTAGAGTCTTAGATGCCTTTGCTGTCTGAAAATTGCTATTTTTGTATACTTACAATCTTTTCTTTGTACGGTCAAGTTGGCTACCTGAAGAAGTCATGTGCAAGCGTGCACACGCGCGCGTGTGTGTGTGTGAGAGAGAGAGATACCAATAATAGGATGAAATGAGCAAACATAGATAGATACACAGTATTTTGTTTTTGAGATTATCATTACTCCGGGAACTGGATTTTACTGGGATAAACTAAAAATGAAATTTCCAGGAGAATGAGGAAGAATACTATGTTTACTAAGATTTTTCCTTACTTTTTTTTTCATTTTTTTCAAAGTGCTATGATGTATAAGTTTATCTTTGAATGAAGTCTTGGGAACGTGCTTTCACTTAGATGAATCTTAGTATATACAACCAAAACAAGAAAGATGTGCAATGTGTGGGGGATGGACATGCTTGAAGCTCTTACTCTAGGGGGAAGGGGTGCATGGGCAATATATGTAACCTTAACATTTGTACCCCCACAATATGCTAAAATAATAAAAAAGAATGTTTTCAGATAGTTGTATATGATTGAACATGGTATGAAGTAAAAATGGTTTTGGTTAATAAACACTTAATATACCCACTTCTGTGTTTTAATAATTTTCAAATAGATGGATAGTCTCAGATTGTAAAATCAATTCTTAAGGGTAGAAGTTTTATCACCGTATTTTAGGTAACATAACTGAAACTCAAATAAATGTGTTAATTTCTCCCATTTGTATAGTAAGAGAGACTTGAATCTTAGCTTTCTTCTCCCTTTGCTAATTTTAAACACAAGGGATCATCCAAACCTAAAATTATAATACAATTTATTAATTAGAGGGTATTAGTAAATGGAAGGAAAATATGACACAAATAACTTTTAACATAAATAATAATAGCACCAATTTGAATTGTTTATTTGTTAATTAGCAAAATGTTGTGGAGAAAAGCGATACATACCAATATCTTCTGCTTCTCAAGAACTCCTTGTATGTGAATGGAAACTTCCATGAATGATATATTATTCAAATTTTCTTTTTTTAATAAAAATGCTAATGGAAATATTAAAATGCACATAAATTAAAATGATCATAAATTAGGATTAATATCACATTAATGAATTATAATCCCACATTCATTAAGATAAAGTGGCATTTCAATATTTGTTCTTGTTAATAAATTAAATACAATAAATGAAAAGGATACATTTTGAGATTCAATAAATATTGATGTAATCTTATGCTTTAACTTTTTAAAATGTTCAAAAGTAAAGTAGGAGATCTAGATGTATTTGGATTCTTTGTTGCTATTTTATGTCTTTTTTATAATCCTTTCTTTTCACTTATTGAAGCACTAAATACAATTTAAATTGGCGAAGAAAGCGATAGAGCCTGTTCTGAATAGAAGAGATCCAAAGAGAATACAATATCTTTTGAATTTCTAGGAATTTCTTTCCATAAGAATTGCTTTTATTTATTTCTTTTTTTTTAAGGAGCAAATATTTGAAATCTCATGGTGTGATAACTGGAACTATATTGGCATTTAAGTAACTGAGTTAAACTGAAAATATGTGCATTTAGACAGTACTTTGCAATGAACTTTTCTTTGAAAAATACATATATATATTATTTTATTGTAGTGCTTTTTAAAAACAGGAGTCAACATAGTATAAAGGAGAAGCACTATATATAAGAATATTCTTGTCTTCCTCTTAAGAACAAACTGTGGGAATTTTAAAACTAGGGATTCTATTCTCCCCAGCACATACCAAAATGTTTCAGGCAGAGCATTTGCTTGATACATAAATTCAATTCATATTTTTTAAATGAATGTTTGTTGCCATGACCTGAGATATGTTTGGATTTCTGTTGGAAAGTTGTCATTTTCTGAAGGGGTTCCTTTTCTGGAAAATGTGCTCCCATATTCTGACCTCAGTGTTCTTCTCTATAAAATGGGAATGATTTTCTTGAACCAGAAAAATTTTAAGAATTAAAGGAAAAAAGCCCTTTAAAACATAATATCTTAGTATAATTCAGGTTATTGGAATTATATTTGTTTGTATAAATATAGCAGACAGATCTGAATTGAACTCTGGGTCTACCACACTTCATTTTACCAAATGAGAACCTTGGAGAGGTTTTTATGTGTTGTGTTAAAGCTCATACTTCTCATGGTTCATATGAAATATTCTTAACTCATTTGTTTTGTTGTAAAAATCAAGAGAATGATTATATGAGAAGTAATTCACATACTCCTTGGCACACAGATAATGATCCATAAAAGGTAGCTTATTATAGTAACTTTAAATAAATATACTGATATGTTGAAAAACACAAACACATTTTTGTATTTTCTTCTTGACCCTTTTAGCATTCTAAAAGCATGACAGCTTATATTAAATAGCTCACAGTACTTTTACCAAACTGTTCTAACTTATTTAAATGAATTTCATTATATTTTATAATTGATTGATATCCACACCACTGTATATAACCTTGTGCTGCTACTTATAGCAGAAATTGATGATGTTATGTAACAAGAACCAAGTTGATATTTAAACAGGAGACAGTTTAAAAAAAGAAAAACAAAAAACTTTGCAGATTGCTCCATCACTAACAAATGCCACTTTTCATTTTAGCTACACACAGACCTGGATCCTGGGAGCAAAAAAATTAAGTATATCCTATCAGGCGATGGAGCTGGGACAATCTTTCAAATAAATGATGTAACTGGAGATATCCATGCTATAAAAAGACTTGACCGAGAGGAAAAGGCTGAGTACACCCTAACAGCTCAGGCAGTGGACTGGGAGACCAGCAAACCTCTTGAGCCTCCTTCTGAATTTATTATTAAAGTTCAAGACATCAACGACAACGCACCGGAGTTTCTTAATGGACCCTATCATGCTACTGTGCCAGAAATGTCCATTTTGGGTATGTATGCTTCCAATTTCACAGAACTATTAAGAGTCATCTTTAAAATAGCTCCTGGCATCAAGGATGGTGTGTTGCTGAATAAAAGACATTTATTACCGTCTTATCTCTAATTTGCATTTCCAAATCCCCCTTTTTGGCCTAAGTTCCGCAGCTCAATAGCTTTAGTCCCTTAGTAATAGGAACTGACGGAGGAGCAATTTTATTAAAATATCTCTCCTTACACGACAATACTTCAATAGGCTGAATTTGTATTCCTCTCATGGACTTGTAGTTTGAGTATTGTTACTGAGGCGGATTTATCAAGATTTGTTCCAACATGCCAAGCTAATCCTATTGATATTTGCTTGATGTTTAATTATTTGTTTGTGTATATTCACATGCAGATGCAGCACATAGAGAAACAGAAAACTGTCTAGGTCTGTGGTGAGCCAGATATTGGATTGAGCTGGTGGGCGAAGGCTGGAGTGAATTAGGCTATCACTGTTACCAAAGAGAGTTCTGTTTTTGTGTCTATGTTAACTGAACATTTTTTAGGAGGCCCTGCTATCACCATTGACCCACTCCCACTTTTTCTGAGCCATTGAAGCATCCATTACACTTTACAGATCAATATATACATATATTTCAAAACATGATTTCAATCTTTTCCCCCTTTTTGAACTTGCTTATCTAGCCCCAAACCCTGGCCTTGATACAGGAAACCTCTGACCCCAGATGTTAAATAATAAAAGGAGGGATTTTAGAGCTCTTTTTGTCTGTCAAAAGTAGTACACAGGATCCAAAATTCAAAGGATAAGATTAAAAAGTAATTTTCTATGTGTAATATATACCCTGATTTGTTTCAAATTGCATTTAAGACAACCTATAAGGGCACATGCTATGCAGTGACATCGCAAAAGTTAGAAGTAGGTAAACACATAAGACACATAAAAAGCACAGGTAGAAATATCAATTGAAGGCCAGAATTAGGTAAATACAGACATGAACATTTACCATGTGGAGCTCAAAAATTTGACCTTGAATTTTCTGCCAGAGAAAAACTTGATCAAGAACTCTATTCCCAGGTAACTGCTCAAGAAAATTACAAATACTTAAATAAAAACACCAGGAAGAAATATATGGCTGAATAATGTCCTCAACAACATCTTTACTGTTGATTCAAATAAAGGCAAGGTATTGATTATGGTTTTCAATGCTAAATTTGTGACCATTTTTAGGAGGTACAGTACAGAATGTCTTTACCTTCCCAATGTGGTTTTGACATTTTAATTTATTTAGGAATCCAGTGAGATACTCGTGTATGTGTATGTGTGTGTGTGTGTGTGTGTTTATAACATTCCTCATGGAAATTAGTTGGAATTTAAATTTCAAATAAAGAAAAATTATTGGTAGAACAAGTGCCTTAATTTGCAAGTAACTTATTCTCATGCATTCCTGAGAAAGGGGATATCTTGGTTCTTCTCCTCTACTTGATCTGCTCCTTTTATGTTTGAATGATTTTCCCTTGTCACTTTCTCATTAAAATTATTTTGTTCCTCGTAGTTCTTTTCCCTTTCTCTCATTGCCTTTTCCTATTCTTCTTCCTTTCTCAGCCTTATCTTTTTAGTCTTCCTCCTTCTCCTCCTTTGGTTTCTTTTCGTCACCCCCACCCACTTCTTTCCTGTCTACTTTCCCCAGCTGTCTTTCCTGGTCAGCCCATGTCTTTAGCCATCTATTTAATGTAGATGGCTTTAAAACCATTTGCCCTGCTTTATCTGCTGGTTAAGCTGGTCACCCACATTCCAGTTGCTTCAGGAACACTTTCACCTGGATATCCAATTAGGCTCAAATCTCACATTAAAAATCAACTCATTACTTTTTCTTAATGATATTACTTTTTTCTGCTTTCTGACTTCTGTGACTTTATTCCAAAACTCTCTAAAATCCCATGTACAAAATGTAAGAGATACTGTTGAATCTTTTCTTTCTCATTAAGCCTCAGCAGTATCTTGCCTATTTAATCCCTAATTCTAGTAGTCACTCCTGACTACAATGTAATATATTGTATATTTTTCCTTTTTGAGACAGGGGCTTACTTTGTCCCCTGGGCTAAAGTGCAGTGGAGTCGTCACAGCTCACTGCAAACCTCAAACTCCTGGGCTCCAACAATCCTCCTGCCTCAGCCTCTGGAGTAGCTAGGACTACAGGTGCGAGCCACCGCACCAGTTTAATTTTTCTATTTTTTGGCAGAGATGGGGGTCTCACTCTTGCTCAGGCTGGTCTAGCACTCCTGACCTCAAGCAATCTTCCCACCTTGGCCTCCCTAATGTGCTAGGATTACAAACATGAGCCATTGAGCCAGCCTGCAATGTAATCTTAATGTGTCATTTCATTTCATTCTTATGACCACCTTCCTAGAACAGATTTTAATGCCTCCACTGGATTATAGATTGTCTTAATAATGTTTCAAATAGTATGTTTGATTTGGACCATGTTACTTCTTAGGTACTCTATGTATATATTTATACTGAAAAAAAAATCTCCCTTAGGTTCCATAAGTATTCATTTTTCTTAGAATAGTTCCCTAGCTCCTTAACCAAGGGAATTTTGATAATCTGGCTTCATTTGATCTCCTTTCTTACCTACCTACAACATGACTTTGGTAGATACACTCAGCAAATCAAAAGTGATTTCAGGTCTTCATATCTTACCCATGTATTTCTTCTGCCAAGACTCTATTTTATCTAGCTCTTATGTAAGGAATTCTATTTTTGTTTATTTATTCCTGCTTATCAAAGCTGAATTGCTTCTTTATGGCTGGCTGAGATGACACTTTTTCTAGGAAAACTTCTATGAGTTTCTGGCAGGAAGTTATCCCTTTACCATCACCCCCCCACCACAAAAAAGAAACACAAATAAGCAAAAACACCTCCATCTTTGCACTTCTTTTTGATGCTGACACAAAAACATGAACTGAGAAACACTACACTTATTTTTCTTTTTGTTTGGTCAACTCATTTAGGTCAGAGAACTTGCCTAATTCATCTTTTCATCCAAATTAGAGTAAGATGGTTTTACAGAACTTTTGCCTACGATACACACAGCACACTTTATCTTAATTGCTAATAAACAGTGAACAAGGAAGATGTTATTTTTGCCCCATTATTATGATTTCTACATCTTCATGCCAAATCTGTATTAATCGTAAATGTGTCAGAGACTCCCATTTCTGTGTATATAAGTCATGTGCCTGATAGATACGTTGAAAAAGAAAACCCCAGAAACTTTTGCAAATGTCAAGGCCATCTTCAACAAAGAAAAGGATTTAAAAAATATCATTAGCTACATAATAAAGTGTCTATGTATACATGTAAATATATGAATATATGTATTTTTCTCCATCTGAATTTTTTTTCCTGCTAAGGCAGTAGACAAATAATCCACACTAACATATATGCGTATCTATCTGTCTCTATCTATATTTATATATATTTAAACCTTTAGCCTGTGACACGTCTTCTAAAAATCACAGGGAATGTGTTAAAATTCAGATGTGACTTTGAATCCAGGTTCTATCCTTTATTATATGGTTTACATTGAAGATAGGTGAGATTATTGCCTATTTTCCTTAGCTACAATACAAAGATAATAATTTCCATCTTACTTTTGTTGTGTGAGAGTTGCATAATAAAATACAAGGTAAGGGTATGGCATAAAGAAACTAAGTGTTACAGAATTGGTTGTTGTGGTTTTTAAATTTGTTTTTATTAATCTGTTCTCCACCTTGCCTTCGGACCTTTCCGTATGTGTCGATTTTATGCATTGGATGTCTGGTTTCTGTTTGACTCCAGCTTCTCTGGTTAAAGGAAGCAGAGGCAGCTGCACAATTTTATTGTCAAGTGTGAATTATTCCCTTCATTTCTCATGAAGGTGAATTTCAGGATGAAGGTCAGCTACCATCTCCTTTTTCTCCCTGCTACCACTGTTCTGTCTTAGCCTGTCTCTTCCCTCCCCTCCTTCCTTCTTTCATTTTTCTTCCTCTGCTACTGCAGAAATGCCAGCACCTGCACCTGTGTGCCCCAAGGAATGCCAGCAAAGGCTTGGGGGGGGCGTGGGGTTCATTGTGCAGAAAGTGAAAAATAAAATTCTGATTCAGAAATTTACCAATATCAAATTGAAATGAATGTGATGTTCAAGGACTGTCTGCCAGTTGACAAGCTGTCAAGACAAAACACACATATATATTTGCCCAAATGGCAGCCAAATTATTTTAGAAATATCTTATTTGGAAGCTGAAGACATAGTTCTTTTATATTCCACTGTGAATTTCATAACTTGATGAGAATTCACTTTTATAGCAATACTGCATAAATAGAGGCATGTGAACTTGTCTGATTTTAAATGTGGATCTCACACTAGCATTGTTGAAGTTAGTTTTTTAATGAAAATTTGCTACATTTATTAAGTCCCAGATACTTTAAATTGACATTTTTAATGTTATTTGTATTAGGGTGAGCAGTTTTAACTCTTGATTGTTCATCTAAACCTGGGTTTGAGTAAAATGAAATGTTATTTGACTTAGATTTCCAGGTTATTTGGCTCCAAATCTGACTTCTTGTGTAAGTGGTATAACCCATCTAAGCTTTACTTTATCTGTGTAGTGTATATAACAATCCCTGCCTAAAAATAGGTTTTGAAAAATTCAGTGATTATATTTAAAGTGCTAACTACTTGGCCTACTAGACTTAACTTTATACTTCAAAATACACGGATTAGAACAAACCCTATTTTATTCAAAAGGGTATATCAATGAAGGTGGTGGAGTAAAAGGATGAGAAAGAGAATAGTGCTTAAGTTGGTACACATTACTGCATTGTTATGTGCATAGTTATATAAAACATGACACTTGGGGTTTTCTTAGTTTCCTTTGAGATCTAGGGCTTCTTTAATGATGATCAGTATGTACTGAGAAAATACTATATGCCAGAATCTGTGTTAAAACATTTCTAGTATGCACA